GCACAGGCAAAGTTGCTTAAGACAGCAGGTTGCTGGGATCTGCAAAATGGCTGCAGTCCAGTGCTCCCTCTGCCTACACCAGAATGCTGGAAAGCCGGCCTCACTGCTGCTGCTGGTATTGCCAACTCACGGGTGGCAGCGTGTGAGGTGATTTTTTGCTGGGATGGTCGCGCCTCAAAAAACAGCCATTATCAGCCCTAATATTGCCACCTTCCCAGCAGGCCCAGGAGCAACAAGCTTTCAAAATATCTGGCACACTCCATTTCTTTCCTCTTGCCCTATTTCTGCTCCTTTCCTTATATATTCAAAGCAGCAGCCCAGTCTACAGCCCGTATGAAATATACAAGTGAGGTTTTTTACTGTTTAATTCATCCTTAGCATATTTAAATCTGCAAAAATACTGGAAGGATATGTAATTCTGCATCACTGTACATGATACCATTTCAATATGTCAACCACAAAACGGGTTGTGTTGCTCTTGTGCAAATCTCGTTTGCAGCACCTGGCACACTTCTTTCAAAAACCACAACAGCCCCATGAAGAACCATACCTTTATCTTGGTTGCCCCATTGACTTTCCTGTCAGCAACTGTTTTGGAGCAGCAGACAACATTTAATATTTATGTGCGCTTACATATTAATAATTGATAATTAGTGCTGATTTACCTAAGGGAAATGGTTGACATGAATAGAGGAGTAACTGTTTTTACATGATAATCCTGCGAGAACAGATGATGGGTCAGAAGAAAGATAATCCTGCGAGAACAGATGATGGGTCAGAAGAAAGATGATATATCTGAGTATGAACTAATTCACTTGGGAGAAATTACTTCAAACCAGACTTGAAGTGGCAGCAAGTTGGTTAGCGAGTATGCAGATGGACTACATCAGTGGCTGCAAAAGCAATGTGATGGTGCACCACGCTCAAACAGTTCAGGAAACTAACTGGAAGATGATGTGTTTTGAGAGAAGACGATAGCAGCATGACATATATATATTAGCATGACATATATATATATATATATATATATATATAATCAAGGACAGTATTCAACTCCGCATACCTGACTTAAGAAAAATAAAATTCAGAGATTGCAGCAAAGAAGAACCACAATGCTTGGTGGAACAAAAAAGTCCTTATATGCAACAAACTAGGATTGTAAATCTTAACATTGGATATTAATAATGAAATACCTATTATTTAAGTACTTGCTGTTTATATAATTAAGTTATATACTTCATGTTACCTACATATTCTGAAACTTTGGAGTCATTCATGGGTGCTATAAAATATTAAGGAAAAAACAGAAAAAAGTTAACAAAAAAGTTACGGACTTTTCAGTAACATTGCGTACTGAAGTAATGTGACTACCTGGAATCTAGTAAATTAACATCAGGGAATTTTAGTCTGCCCTTTTGTCAGTTAGCAGGGCATATCCATTGTTATTGTTGATTACAAGAAAAAATACATTTTAATTTCCAAAACATGCAGGATGCCATCACTTATATAAATTAAAAGCTAGTGGCCATTCTCTGGTCCCTCATACCCATGTAACTGGTTGGTGCAATTGGGCAGGGTGGCTGGGGCTGTTTTCTGATTCACAAACCACGCCTGAGAGCTTTCCTGGGCCTGTGGATTTTCTTTTTCTGGGCGAGTCTAGTTGTGGAGGCCTCACGGTTGTGTTCAAAAGTCACGTATTTTCTCTCAATTTCCACTGTTAGGCCCTGACAAAACATGACTACACTTTGTAGAACAGACTAGTAGTTCTACGGATAAATAAGACTTAATTTTTGAAAGAGCTGGAAAATCTCATTAACTACCAACAAAGGTAGGGAAGAAGAGTACCTGAAGTGCTTTCTGTTCAGCCAGTAAATCACACAGATGCAAGCTGACTCCTGAATTGCACTTTTTATGGGCATTGTAGTGATTGAGATCCGCAACTGCCCTCAAGGGAGCCTCAGAGGACGAGCACAGGCCGTACTGCCTCTCCCTCACACCAGAGGCTGGGGCTCTGCCCCTGACTCGCAGCAGGGCTTCCTGCTGTTTTCATGCTGGTGGTGCACTAGCTGCTATAAGGTAACATACACTTTAATTATGGTTGGACTCGATGATCTTATCTATTCCAACCTAAATGATTCCATGATTATTAAAAAAAATTACTAAAAAAAAAACCACCAAAAAAACCCATTCACAACAAAACATAACCACAAAGCTGTCAGCAACCTGAAACGGCAGAACTTCGAAGGAAAGCGGAAAAAGAACCAACTAAAGCTTACTTTACAAACGACACCACCTTCATTTCAAGTCTCTCTGAGCCCTGACAGACGAGGGAGCTGGCCGCAGCCCCCCATCTTGCCTTTCCTGCCGCCTTGCCAGGGCCGGCAAAACC